TTCTTAAGATATTTTCTTATTAAAGTGTTTGCATTTATCTTTATATTCTTAAATTGAATACTGAACATCTTAATAAAGACCCAACAAAAATGGCGAACGGGTAGGAGACAGGAAATATATTTTACAAAATTAATTTTGTTGTTCATAGTACGAGAGCATTAGTGAAAATTTATAGACAAGGTTAATACGAAATTTAATATACAATATCGTTATCATAACCTTTGTCTAGTGAGGCGTTGTTGCCTTACATGAGATAGAAGTACAAGTGAGTGAAGCCAAAGTAAAAGTCATAAAAGCTCTCGAAAAGAGCATGAGAGAGGATCGGAGCAAGAAGAAACACTCATTAAAGATGAAACTTTGGCTTTACCCAAAAAATTGAAATACAAATTGAATCCAAATGTACCAGAGTGGGTTCCGAAAGAAAGAAAACAATACACGACAGTAAAACAAAAGGTATTGTTTGGTACGGATACAAATAACAACATTGAAACATCTAAAATTCATGTTCATAGTAACGACCAAAAAATGACGTTAACCAATTAAATACTATATTGATAGCTCGTGAGTTAAACAAGCCTGAAGCAGACATTACGAAATTTGATGGTAGCCCCATGGAATATAAGAGTTTTATGAGACAATTTGATGCTAGAGTAGTAGCAAATACTGGTTCTTATGATGAAAGACTTAATTTTTTATTACAATTTACTATCGGAGAGCCACATAGAATTGTGAGTGGATTTTCTCATTTAAATGCCAGAAAAGGTTATGGAGCAGCTTTTGAAGAATTAAATGATCGTTATGGATATCCTGACGTCATAGCTCATGCGTACGTCAAAAGAGCTTTGGATTGGTCAGTGATTAAACCAGACTATGCTAAAGCCTTGGATGACTTTTCAATATTTTTAAGAAAATGTCTCTATGCTGTTGAGAATGTTGTTCCCTGTACTGAAAAATGTTCAGTTTGGGTTGTTCCTAGTAGATAAATCAATTTTGGTACCACTACCAAATGATGTAAACAGCCCATCAAAAATCAAGACGTACATGGAAAGAGAAAACAAGAGTGGGAGTTTCTTTATAAGAACTCTATTTGATATTTCAGCTCTATGTATCGAGGTAGGTATTAAACAATAGAAATATGGGCATAAAACACGAATGATCTCTGTAGCTGCTTGGCCTATTTGGCAAAATCCCTGTAGCAATATTATCTTGGCTGTTGCAGCTAGAGGCAAAAATTTTATTTTTTTTTAATTTTGGTGTTTTAACGCCACTTTTAAGCACCGCATTTGTGCTTTTTCGTGGCGGCCAGTTTTTATTTGTGGAGGAAGCCGGATTGCCCGGAGAAAACCACCGACCTTCGATAGGAAAACTGACCATCCTAGTCAATTAAGATTGGAGTGCTCCTGCACGAGCGGGGTTCGAACTCACAACCTCAGTGTTGACTGGCTAGTGATTACAGTAGTAACTACTTAGACCACCCGGCCACCGAGGCCCCTAGAGGCAAAGATAAGTTATTGACAATGATATGTTTAAATTAAAAAAAAAAGGATTGGACTTTTTTTATACGCCCGTTTACGGGACGTATTATGGTATACCGTTGACCGTCTGTCTGTCGTCAACATATCGGACATTACCTCAAAAAAAAACTTTAACCAATGTTCAACTTCATTGATTTTGAGCCAGTAAACTATATTATGTCAAAAAATTGATCATAATCTAAATTTATACAGTATTAAGCTTGAATATTGTGTCCAAATTTGCCCAAACATGTTCAGGGTTCAACCTCTGCTGTCGTAGCTGTCTGCACTCGGCGACGCTTTTTATAATTAAACCTTCATTGTATATCTATATTTTGGTGAGGTTCTACAATGGTAGCTGGTGGACATTGCAACTCTGTTCTTTTAATGCTCCATGAATATATAAAATATGTTCAACGCGTGGGATATTGACTATAGAAGTCTGTTGACATGAATATCAAATCTATGGTATTTTTCATAAATTTCCTGTTACAAAACTTTGAATTTTTCGAAAAAAAAAGATTTTCTGATTCCAGGAATAGATTACCTTAGCCGTATTTGGCACAACTTGTTGGAATTTTGGGTCCTCAATGCTCTTCAACTTTGTACTTGTTAGGCTTTACAACTATTTTGATTTGAGCGTCACTGATGAGTCATATGTAGACGAAACGCGCGTCTGGCGTATTAAATTATAATCCTTGTACCTTTGATAACTATTAATTAAATTTCTGTTTCTAAATTTTAGATGAAATCTTCAATAATGCCGATAGCTTTTGTTTTGGTGAAAGTGTAATAAAGCTAGAATATAAAAGATTCACCTAAAGGAATATTGAAGATGCACCTGCTTCAACAATCATAAAGAAAGAGGCAATCCCACCAGTCTAAGTCCTCCTCAACGGAAGTAAAAAGGCCAAAAGAAGAGTTTGAAGTAATTAAGAAAACATCTAGTCCAATCAGCATATCATCTGTTGGTGAGAACAACATAATGAATAATTAAGAATTATCAGAAGTCAAAAGGAGCCTTTCCTTAGTTTCAGAAAAATTTCTTTCTTCTTCCTCAGATAAATTCTTTGTCGATTCCAAAAAGAGCAATTTAGAGGATATATGACACCAACACAGAATACACTTTTTATTTACAATGACGAACCTCTCCTGCCTTTATTGTTTTGCTTGATTTCAAAGACTGAGTTCAAACATCATCTGACGAACTCAAAGACTACCATTTAATCCCCAGAACTCTACAAAAACCAAGACCAACTACAATAATAGAAAGCAGAAGAGATCATCTAAAGAAAACAAGCATCCAAAGCTGACGTTGCACGTACTGGCGTTCAAGAAAATGTGTGTTTGTGATATTGATCTTGAAAAAATGACCACTGGATAAATTTGTTTGCAGATGACAATGGTGTTTGGCGGCAAACAGATGATAATAGTCAAGTAGCGCTAGTTCAATCCAGTTTTGTCTCTCTCACACGAATAATATATTTTTAGGTACATGGGCTCATCTTCTGATTTTCATAGTGTAATAAGACTACACTTCTGTTTGTTTTTGGGGCAACCACCAATACATATCATGCTACCGCTTGTTATACTCAAAATTTTATAATAGATTCAAAATGTTGTATAATAAGCCTTTGCTCCATTGAATTCGCATAAACCATCAGCTTTAACATGTCAACTTCATAATTAACCAGCAACTCCAGAAGTTAGCAACTCTACAGCAATTACTGAAGCCGTCGTTCAATATGCCAGGAAAACCAGCCGAACGAATATAATCGAAAGTTTGAATCAACAATATTAAGGTTCGTATTTAATGCTCACGATACATTTGATAAAAATGAAAATGGTACAGTGTTTAGGTCCAAAACACACAGAACCGCGCATACGAATGGCCATATTAAAACTGAAAATATTTCAGCACTTCCCATATGCTTCATCAGAGACCGATAAAAAAATTATGTGGATTAGTAAATAGGGTCTTAGACAAAACCAATTTGAATAACTTAGAGGCACTGCATCAAGATTCGACCCATCGTGTAATTATCTCTATGATAACATCTAAGCTAACAAAGTCTTTGAAGGAAAACATAATTTTATTTAACAACGAAGTGAAATGCAGTGACAATTTTAAAAATATAGTTCAATCACTTATGGAAAGATCAGTGATGTATAAAGCATCCCTTACTATCTCAGATGAGCATGTTCTCTTTTCAAAAGATCTTTCTGTTGGTAAAGAATAATGATCACAGATATTTTGTTTTGCAAACATCAGATAAATTCTTCTTTCGGAACTGATATTAATACAATTGAAAGTGTTCACATCACTAAATGGATGTAGGACTAGGAGTAAAACCACTATGTAAGGCCACTAATTTCTACATTGTGAACGAATAATTTTTAATGACAGTTTAATAAAAATTACATACAAAGTTGAATAATATTTTATTATGGTTTTACATAACATGGTTGATTAAGATGCTGTCTTAAGAGCAGAATTTTCGTGATTGAAGAAGAGGTCGAGACAAAACCTGAAAATACGATGAGTTGAACTGATTTTTTGCGGTGTTACAAAATTGAAATGTCACAAATACAAACATAGAAGACATACAAATTGAATTTGTAAACGAGTGGAATATGACTTTCAAACTGAGTGCAGACTCTGCAGGCAGAATAAGGTATAACAAAGTAATTAGTCAAGAATTTAAACATTTCCAAATAAGCCAGTGCAAATATACAGAAATATGGTTTTGCAAAATTTCCACCATCCGCATATAGTATTGGCGATGAAGTATATGTAAAATGTCAAAGCAAAGGCAAAATAGTGTATAGAGGAGGGACATCGATCGCAGCGCCACGAGAATTTGAAGTATGGTAAAGTGGTATAATAGGATATTTGTATTTTATATATTAGTTTGCTTATTTCTATATTTTTAATCTAACTTTATTATTTCAGAAGATTTTATTATTAATTCTGTAGTATTATATTATTGCATGGTCACTGTGTCTAAAACTACACCGGTAAAAAATGGTTGGACTCGATGGTATCTAATATCCGGCACGGTGACGGAACATTAATATACAGAAAAAAAAAAGGTTTCTGTTTATTTATTTGTTATTTTTATGATATCGAAGACTAGGTAAACATATATATAACCATTTTCAATTGTGATGTGTCATATTTTCTACAACCGTTCTATACTAACGGAGAAATAAGTAAAATGAAAAATGTATACAATTGAAATAAATAAGATTAGATAACACATACTCTTACCTGAACTTGTAAATGGAATTTGAAACTCCAAATCTGACGCAAACTTCAGAATAAGTGTATATTGAAATGACTTCTTTATGTTACTTAATGAATCATTATAGGTTAGCCCTGTCAAACAGGGAGAGGATGTAGATGTTAGAGAAATATTATTTAGATAATTTTCGGAAAATAGATGTGTCTAGACAACCAAGGCCATTGTGGGAACATTCATTACGATGCTTCAACAGAGAATTTTTAAAATTAAATTGCACATTAAAGGTAAGTCAAATGATATCATCATAAAGTATGGTTGAATTATTACTATTTTAACAAAAAGCAAGGGACAGGCAAACACAGTCTTAAATAATACAATTTTTCTGTTTAAAATAACGACTTTTTACTGGCTGTCATGATTGGAATTGAACTATGACAAAATGCAAAGTGCTTACTCTGTTTAATGCACATCTTGAATCTACCCACAAAAAAAACTTGTGGGAACACTGATTCTCTTAAAATTTTTCACCACTTAAGTTGGATTAACGAGGTTAAACTTTTATAATTGGAACCATGAGAATTATTATAAAATTAAGATATCATTTTTAATTTGACACAAAAATTAACCTTTTAAAATATTAACTACGAGTATATACAGCATACCATTGGTACAATGGACAGTGAAAATGATAAGAACATTTCAAAAGTACACAAGTCAAATTGCATGCAGTAAGCATTATACTGTTAAAAGAGCATCAAAATCACTATTATTAATGGATCTGATAAAAATTCAACTGCTGAACATATGAATATTTTCATTTTTATAGATACTGGTGAGATTGAATTCATTAATGAATAGTTTCGAGAGTTCCTTAAGACAAATGGGGCCCGGGATAAACCTACGTGAATATAGATTTTAGAGAATGAGAATACATGTAGTTACATAAGTATGTTTTGTCATTTTTAAATCTTAACAGTTCAACAGATAGTCTAGAAAAAAATTATTTTGAAAACTATGAAAATTGCATATGAATGAAAGATGTGCATATTCTAATAAATGCACATTTCGATAACGTCATTGATGTTTGACAATTTTTTTATTTTAGTACTCGAAAATCCGAAAGGTTTCCTCTCGTATTGCTTATTGTTGATAAAAATATTTTAAATGTTTAAATGAACTTTATGGTCATCATTTTAACAATATAACTTAAACTAATTTAAAAAATATGCTGTTTAAGTGAAATTAAAACAATTATCTTTACTTTTGTTTCCCTATGCAGTCCCCTACTTTGTAGTTTGAATAGTTATGTAGACGAAACGCACGTCTGGCGTATAAAATCCTGCTACCTTTGATAACTTTTTACATCACTATCGCTCGGGCAAAAATAATCACGAATATAATGCCTACCAGTGTTAAAATTACAATAAAGTACAGCTTGTAACAATTATTATATAATTAATGATCATGATGATCGTGTCCATGTAGTAATTACCACACCAATTGAATTAAAAGACAGGTTTTGCGTCGAAACTGATAACACAATCGCTATTTTGAAATTAATTGGCTTATGTCAAAGGGACTGCGAACCATCATTTTCAGTGTGATATAATCACATCATTTGAATTAAAACACAGGTTTTGCTTGTCGAAGCTTTACTTACAAGTATCTGATATCAATCATTCAAAATAAAAATAAAACAGAAAGCTCAGAGACAGGTTCTCCATTTAAATGAAACTGATAACACAATCGCTATTTTGAAATTAATAGGCTCATGTCAAAGGGACAGCGAACCATCATTTTCAGTGTGATATAATCACAATCTTCTAAGTTTGCTTTTGTTTTTTGTCACTAATTATATGTTTTTTGTGTTTACACGTTATTCATGTCATTGAATATACATACAGGCTCTGTGTTTAATGTGGTACTTTGACCTAAAATTGTTAACTATGAATACATTGATTGATTGATTGATTGTTGGTTGCTTAACGTCCAGTGGCAAATATTTCATGCATATTCAGGACGAGAACAAGTTCACAATGAATACAATAGGTAGGTTCTGTAATAGATTAAGGGGTTAAGGTCGGAGAAATTTAGACTGCCACGGGAAAAGAGGGTATATTGGATAGGGACAGAAATTTAGCCTTGCAACAGGTCACCTACGGACCCCTCAAAGAGTTGTTGCAAGGGTTCTTAACGTGCACTCTCTTTACACGAGGCATCGGATTTAACGTCCCCATTCTGACCGGACGTGGCTGCAAATTTGTACATCCCGCACAGCCAAACGGACGCCCCACTTTAGCACGGGTTTTACTGCCGGTCGGAGGAAGACCAATGGTGACCATACTTCTATTCCCCAGTCACCCTTGGGGGATGAATACATTGTAACCTGGATGTAGAGTTGCACTCATACCACATCTTCTTAATTAATATGGAAACATGATAAAGATCTGCATTTTACAAAGTAGGTGCAGATCTGTTTGAAATGAAAGACATTGGAGAAGAGGAAAATGAGTTTAAATCTAACAAATATGTTTGTAGTACCCTACCCGACACTAATTTTTCAAAGCATACCATAAATTTTTTACATTGCAATCTGAAATTTAATACATTTGGTTTACTTCATATCTGCATTTAGTTTTTAGTTTTAAGTACAGCAGTTATGAGCTTTTTTAATCTACTGATAAAACCAGAAGTGGTTTCCTATATGAAGCAAGTTGTGAAACATTTTGGCAGTAATTCCTATAGTCATGACAATAAATGCAATGAGTTTGCATATAGCCTATAGCCTTTGATTTAGTGGTTGAGGCATGAAGAAACGTTGGTTTGTTTTGAGCGTTGTATATTCGCCGAGGACAAAAATTTTGCCATGCAACAGACCACTTACGGACCCACCAAAGAGTTCTTTCAATGGTTCTTGGACGGGCAAAGTAGTACACAAGAAGCAAGACAATGATCACCAAACTGTAAAATCATAATAATACTGAACTCCGAGGAAAAAGTCCCTAATCAAAAAGGAAAATAGCTACAGGAATGGTTGACAAAAGAAAAGCAACAGAAGAACACAAGAAGCAAGATAATGATCACCACATGATATTACATCAGGAAACCAAAGCTATAGAAATGGTTAAAAAAAGACAACAGAAGAACACACGAAGCAAGACAAAAAATGACATGTGTTCGGTGTGTATTGAAAAATGCCAATGCCGAAAGAGATGCTCTTTCAACCTACTGACTTTCCTAGTCAAAGAACTGAAGTATATCGTTCCAGAATAGTCTACTTTATGGTTCCTAAACCGGTTAATCAAATTGCTGATGAAGTTCTCATTGATGAGAAGGAAATGGTTGAGGTGTAGCCATCTAAAGCCCCAGTCACATAAGACCACGATCGTATCACGCTCACCGCGAACGAAATTAATTCAGATCGTGGTGAGGTCGCGGTATGAGCGGCGTGGAAATGTAACTTTTCGTTGTTTTCACAATGCTATAACGTCCTCATTACACTTATTGAACAATCCCGCTACGCTTATTCTGTTTTCAACATCAAAAACAGGAGTCCAAGTGTGTTTTTTTTAGTGTAATTCAATATTAACAAGACAGATGTGATAATGTTAATGTCAATTATATGTACAATGTATGTATGTTGATACACTATTGTAAAGTGCTTAAAAGCCCCTTTTCTTAATTGATCAACATATTGACGAATTCAGTTGCGATTGATTGGACAGAATAGGATTATAAACTTATGATGGAATTTTATTTTCATGGTTTGGCTCCGTTCTCAAATCTTAATCTAAATACATATCTACTACATCATCAAACTCACATACATGATAGCGTTGAGTCTTCCATTGTCACGTCACACAGCTGAATGAAAATAAAGATTGTCGTTAGTAATACAAGAACGATTATAGGACAGAGAGTCACAGGTCAAAAAGTCACAGACAAAAAGTCACAATTCATTTTTTCTGATTATTTTCTTTGAAAAAAAAACGCTTATTTCTACAAAAAATATTTTTGTACTTTTGTATATAAACCAACTTTGTAGATCAAAATTTATCAAAAAATATCAAAGATGATCAAATAATTGTTAAAAAAAACAAAATGTCAAAGTGGATTGGCACTTAAATGGCTTTATGGTGCCAAGAAATCTTTCTTTTGCATGTTTAAGATTAAATAAATCTTCATTTTTCAAGTATAATAACACATTTCCTAAACTTTAATATGAATATATGTATTAAAAAGTAAATATTTCAAGATATTTCTCTTATATATTCAAACAGTTGTCACCAGATTATTTGTGACTTTTTGTCCTACTAAATTTGTGACTTTGTGTCCTGTGACTTTTTGTCCGTTTACCTACAAGAACATGTTCTAATTTAAGTTTTAGTTTAGTTTTTGCAGCATACTTAAACATTTCGCCCGTCTGGTAAATGAAAAATAAGTTTGTCGTTAGTAGTTATAAACAAAACTACCTCATTCGACTCAAAAATAGAGTCCTGGATTTTGCTTTTGTTGGTTTCACATTCAGTTTTTGTAGGAATAAGGGTGAACCAAAAAAATCAACGTGGTTAATATTCTTTCCATTTAACTGACAAATGTGATAATATTGTATTACTATATTTCAAAATACGTCCTTAGTAAATTCGCGGATCGGGATTGTGATTTGCGTTTACAACATTCTTAAAGTTTTAGTAAACACTAATTTCAAACAAAAACTGAAAGTGAAACTAACAGATATTTATTAGAATGACTGTTTGAGAATCTAATCACCAGTTGCATGAGGTCAATGAGTACTGTTTTAATTATTTTGTACTACCATCGACAAACTTATTGCCCCACCAAAAACTGGTGGTGATCTTATAAATTGAAATTTGTTTCTTCAAGGTAGCACTACAGTCAGAATCTGTTGACTCCAACCAACAGTCTTTAAAGATTAATTTCTCCCAAACTAGTCAATGGATTTTTAAAATCTTTAATTCATTTTAAAGCTCTTTCTTCATCTATAGATACATTTATTTTTGGTATAATGAATCTAAAAATATAGCTCATTAATTGTCAAAAAAAGTGGTCTTCCAACTTGGATGAAAATGGCACATTCAGGTCAAATGGTAGTAAAAATTTGTTTTCATCCCTTTAATCAACCATACACAAGCTCGAAAACTGTCTCAGATTTTTGATATATGTATTGTAGAAAATACTCCCTTTAATCACATATATCAAAGTCAAGCCAAAGGGGGTACCCATAAAGTTTCTATTTTCATTTTTTCCTAACAATTCTCATGAAAAATTGTTCTGAGAAATGACATAAAAACGGAATTTCCCCCTAAGAACCCCTATAAATGCAACATTAATACAAAGATTCCACTGGGAACACCCCAGGAGTGTTCTGACACCATAACTTTATCAATAGAATCACACACTTTGTGTCTTTGATGCTCTAATGCTGTAAATTTTGAATAATGTGTGCACTGACCAACACTAACTTGGCATTTGGCGGGAGTTTGACGTCACAGATTTGACATAAACTTAGATTTGGTTAAAATGCATAAAACTGTTTTTAAATGTAGAAGACCAAAGAGAAGACATGTATACAGCCAGTCAGAGGCTTTCAAAGATACTTTCACACTCTTTTCCTTAGTTATTTTCATTTTTGATAGATTTTTTCCCTTTAGATGTTTTCCTCTTCATATATTTTACTTTTTCTCTGTTTACTTCCTTGATATATAAATTACTTGTAATGCAAATTATACAATGAGATAATACCACAACATTCATCTTGTGGTCAGGGATTAACAGCTGGACACTGGTATCAACAGATGATTGACATATTAG